CCGGGGGTATGTGGGACTCCCCTCCCCCTCTCTAAAGGAGAGGAGGAGGTATACCCACTAAAAACCCCTGAGTGTGTCCTTCACCGCACAGTAAGGGCGACCCCCTGGCATCACCTTTCGGCATTCTTCGGGGGGCCGCCCCGCGCCAGCGCTTTCGCGCTCCTTACTCTGGGGGGGCGGGGGGGAAACGGCGGGGACAAAACCCCATCCCCGGTCGCTCCCCCCCTGCCGTGAGGCCACACTTGCCTCTTTGCGCGGCGAGAGGCGGACACAACACCTCTCGCCGCGCTCTTCCCGATGGTAGTGGGAGATAGGTCTCCCAAACCAACATGACCAGGGGTGCGTACAGGTCACCCCCGGTCGTGGTGCCTACTGGCAGCGGCGCGGTGCGACCCTACACCGCGCCGCCTCCCTCCCGAGCCGCAATGGAGGAGGGTGCGCCCCCGCGCACCCCCGCCGCAGCCGGTAGGGGAGAGGGGAGACCGGTACCAGGCGATTACGCCCAATACCGGTCCCCCGGCGCCGGCCTGGTGTTCGGCCAGCGCCGTGGCCCCGATCTTGGTGGTGGTGGGGGAGGACCGGCCCGTCCCGCGGACACCGGGCCTCCCTGGCCCGGAGCCGCTTTCAGCGGTCGGCCTCTGCGGTGGCCCGGCGGCGGAGCGCCAAACCGATCGCCCCCCATCAGCGGGCACCCGGGACCACCCATCCGGTGACCCGGGTCCCGTCCCTCCTCACGGCATACCGCGCAGGCCGCACTCTCGGTGCAGATCCGCGCGGTGTGCCCGGCTCGAACACATCGGTAGCAAAGTCGGCTCCGGTCCGTAGACGCGGAGCAGGCCGCCCGGACGTGGCCGAGCCCCCAACACCGATGGCACTGGAGCGGGCGAGCCGGGAGCAGTTCAACTCTCGCTCCCGCCCACCCCAGGGCCACGATCCTCGAAATGTAATTTATCCAAAATTATTGCAATGTTTGGTTTCAGATCAATGAAAGCAGGCGACCCATATTCTAAAGCAGGTCTAATCCAACACTTATAAACATTTATTAAATTACAAGGGTGCGCACTCCACTGCAATCCAGAAATTGCTTTCAAAACTGATAATTTTAATGTAACTTTTTTCTTAATTTTAATACAATATTTTTTCCAGGTTAAGCCCATATCAAAATATACTCCCAGAAATTTAACAAAATTGACAGTAGGAATAGCACAATCTTGAAACTTAACAGCAAGTCTCCTTTTCTTAATAAAATTATCAACTTTCCTATGTCTATTTGCAGAAAAAAGACAAAAAGATGATTTAGAACTAGAAATATTCAAGCCCAGTTGATAAAGATTATCATTTAAAACAATCATAACCTCGTTAATAAGTCTATAAACAATCGGAATCGACTGACTAGTTGTAAAGATACAAACATCATCTGCACAAGCTAAGTATTTCACATCATCATGTAAATTATGAAAAATAAAAGAAATGTAAATATCAAAAAGAAGTGGACTTAGAACTGAACCTTGGGGAAGACACATCCTAGCACATCTTCTACCAAGAGAAACACTTTCCATGTATCCATCAATATTCCTATAATATAATAAAAATTTCAAAAAACTAATGATTTTATTTGGAAGAAACATTTGCTTAAGTAATTGTATTAAAATATACGGATTAACATTATCAAATGCGGGTGTATATCAGTTGGACACGGGGCAATTGGACACAGTCCAATCACAAGTCGCTGTTCCAAGGGACCCTACAAATGTCTCTAATCAGACGGTGCTGTGATTGGCTGTGTCCAAATGCACCGTGTCCAAGTGCACCGTTCCCATCAAACGCACCTTTAATATCTAAAAATAAAACTCCTGTAAAGGCATTCTTAAAAAAAACCCTGTTTAATCTCAGCCGAAAGTAAAAACATTATCCAAAGTAGATCTATTCTTACGAAAGGCAAATTGGAATTTAGAGATAAACTTATTATTTTCGAACCACCAGACAAGCCTACGAGAAATCAATCTCTCAAACAATTTTAAAAAACAATTTGACATAGAAATTGGTCTCATAGAGGTCGATTCTGATTTTGGAATAAAAATCATAAAATAATCGGACCAAGAATTAGGATAATTACATAGATGAAAAATTTTATTAAAAATTTTCATAAGTATCTCAAATGCCGAGTTAGGAAATTCCAAAACAATTTTATTGGAAATAAAATCCGGGCCAGACGCCGATTTTTTATTTAAAGAATTAATAGCACTCATAACCTCTATACTAGTAAAAGGCTTAACAATCTTATCATTATATTCCAAAACCAACAAATTTAACGAATTCGAGTCGACAAGGTGATGTGAACGACGTAATGCATTGACAACATAGTCAGCAGGTAAATTCACAACTAAAAACTCCAGATCAACAAAATGTAATGGCACAGCCTTATTATAAGCAAGTTCAGCAGCACTCAACTTGGCGTTGACATCTAACATTGAAGATGATGTCACAGCACGACGATTTTTAAAAGCCTTCAAGGATCTTCACATAGTTCCAAGATCACAACGAGGGTTGATTTCAGAACAGAACCTCCTGAAATTAACAATTTTTATATTCTTAAGCCTATTTTTAACATTAGCAGCAGTAATACGAAAAAGATTCATATTCTCAATAGAAGGAGTAGAAACAAACTTAAAATAAGCCTTCTTTCTCTCCAAAATTAACGAATCACATTCATCAGTCCACCAAATAGCAGGAGGAACTCTTTTCTTATTGTTACACTTATAAATCTTAGCATTACACTCTATTAAAGTATTTGACAGAATACCAATTAAATCGACATAAACATCGATCACATTCCCACGAGTGACAAAGAAAGATTTCAAATTTTCCTTAAATCTCTCCCTGAAATCAACCCAAAATACCTCAGATAAAGCCAGGGAAGGACATCGGCCAGTCGGTAAGATAGACATGCCATCAAACTTAACAATCGTAGAAAAATGATCACTAGAAAAATTATAATTCATAACTGAAGAAAAGGTAGACAAAGCAAGAGAAGAAGATACAAAAATATAATCTAGAACCGATCTAGAAGAACCATCAAAAGATGTCCAAGTCGGTAAACCACATCCAATTGATAAAATTAG